GCCAAGAATGCCTGTTTCTTTGACTAGAATCAGCCTTTGTTTCCCGTTATCACCACTCAATGACCAACTGAAAGTTCTGTTATAAAAGTACACAGGAAAGCAAAATATTTTTTCATAGTCCAATGTCAGCAGATTCTGGACCAATTAACTTTTAAATCTCTAAACAGTATTCTCCTAAATGCTGAGAATTATTTCATTATGCCACATATAAACAAAGTTACCAAAATTTCCCAAAGGTTTCCAAAATAATTTGTTAGGCTATACTGTTTTCTTTAATATGCAACTGATTTAATGAAAAAGCCACAGTTTTTAAACATAAGAAAGCTGGAAGAGAGAATATTTTCAAATAATGGGAAAAGTGTGAAGAAGTGGTCAATAGCTCTAAATTTTGAAGACACTGAACCTTTTTAAAGGACTGTTCTCTAGTAACCAGATCATGTTTATTTGTGGTTTTCTCTATTTTTGGTTAAAACAAAATGGTTTTGAAATTCCCTGCAGTGACATACCAGCAGTATGTCAAGATGAAAACGCAGAATCAAACTAAGTTGTGCTAAAGTGCACAACTGCCTTCTGTTCACTTTCTATTTTTTAAAATAAATTAGAACCAAAATGCTTACTTCTATTTTTAACTCATGCTCTTAAATCATAAATGTTTATTTTGAAGAATTCATTCCTTTAAATGATCAATTCTATGAAATGACTTATGATCAGATGACTCCTTATCATAGCACAAAATTCACAAACTTTTAACTTCTTAAATATATAAAACTAACTTGCACTCTCAGGACCCAACTGGCTACACAATAAATGAAAACAATGTAATCCCTGTTTCTAGGACTATTCATTGTGACCACAAGTTACATCAGAAACCAGTGAATCCACTGGCATTTTAAATAGGAGGGAGGGCAATTTAAAAAGCCTGATAAACACTAGAATCTAATCTATATAATATAAAAAATAAACACACATAAACATTAATGCTAATCCTCCTGAATAGATATAACTTGAAGAACAGCATGAATTAAAATGAACCTTCAATGATATCTAAAGACATGAAACATCTTGAGATCACAAGACACACGAAAATTTTTTTGACCAAAAACAGATTCTTTTCCAACAAAGGTCAAAAATTGAAAATGTAGCTTTACAAAGGTGAATGTT